ACCCCTTGCAAATACAGGTGGGAGGATTATTCTAAATGAAAGAAGTGTTGTTTCCACTGGCTTCACGTGGAAAATGTCAAAAGAAAATATTGCCCATTTTCCAGCATCTTTCCAAGGATCCTCTCACAGAGAAATGAGTGATTCCAGTGCCACAGGCGTGAATTTTAAAGGGATGCTGCGCTCGGCTGCTGCCAGCCTTTGCTGAGCAGAGGTTAATAGTTGGGTTCAAATGCTGCAATTTATGGATTATAGGATTTCTTAGCAGCGAAAGGGCTGCTCTTACACTGCCCCAAAGCGCATGGCCGGGGCAGAAAACCACCCCTTGAAAGGGACCATCAGAAACAGCAAAAAAAAAACCCAAAAGGGAGCCAGAAGAAGTGGAAATGCCCCATCTGAGAGGGCAGAGGAGGCAGAGAGCCACTGCACGTGGCGAGCTCCGCTCTGCTCCTGCCCCCTCCGTCCTGACACATCTCACGACGATATTGCCACCGGCACGTCAACTCTTCCCCACCACCGATGCCTGGGGCGGCGCAAGGCCGTGCAAGAGCGTCCCCCTACAAAAGCAATTCAGTCTTTGCGCTTGTGGAGTAACACTAGAAAATGTGCCCGGGAGGGGCGCAGAGGCCAGAATATGAATGTTGCTTTTTTTTTTTAAATCATCTATTATGTCTCCAGATCTTCCCCTCTACCCATGACTGTGTGATGGGGGAAACAAAGGGTCGTGGTTTTAGCGCTGTTGATTGCCAATTTAAGGCTGGCGAGCACCAGAAGTGTTTCTGCACCGTCCACGGTCTCCTGCTCCGCTGCCCTCAGCACTCCTCCGTCGTGGAAGTGTAGGCAGGGAAACGCTGGGACCATGAGATGCCTGACGCCCAAAGCTGCGGCTTTCACGCTGTCCACAAACCGCAAGTAAAACGCAAGCAAAAATACATGGACAATTACAGAGCCCGCGACCCCGGGGCGGAGTGGGGGGGAGGAGGAGGAGGAGAGCCTTCAGCCTCATTTCACAGCAGCGGGAAATGAGGAGGGATGGAGGGGGGAGGAACGACGCCCTTACCGCGAGAAGGAGCCGGCCAAAGCATTTAATGCCTTTTTGTTCCAGCCTTCGCTAAAAAAGCCATCTGCAATCGGCCAACAAGAGCAGCACCAGCGGCAAAGAAACCAGGGTGGGACACAGTGGGAGTGGAGCTGGGAAGCCCAACGGGCTTCAACTCTGAAGCGGAGCCCTGCTTGCGCGTCCCCAGGCTGCAAAACCAAAAATAACATGGGCCGTCATTGAAGAGGGGGAAGGAGAAGCAGTATCGTGGAGCAGGTGGCTTTACACCGGTTACTGAAGACACGGCACAAGTAATCAATTCTCTTTGGAAGCCTTCAGAAGATAACGAGGCGATGAGTAACGGTCTGTATCGATTTGTAGGAACAAATCGCATCAGCCCAACCTAATCTCGTCCTGCGAGACGGCGATGGACTCCTGGCACCGGGGTGATGCAGATCTCCTTGCCTTTAATGGCAAGAAGTCTTCGACGCTGCTTTAAATGCAGAATTATTGTCTGGGGGACATGGTGTAGGAGGACCCAAAACCGATCCGAGTCCGACAGGGGAGCTTGAAGGGGAGCGCGTGTTTGAGGGGCCCCAGGATCCAGTGTAACCATTAACAACTGGGAATGAAGAGCATCAGCCTGGTGGTCAACGCCAAGGTGTCAGGACTGAGACTGCAGACTGGTAAAAGGGGTGGAAAACCAAGCCAGGCCCATCCAGCAAAGACACGGGGATGTTGCTAGAGAGGAGGCGAACATGCAGGACCAACAGGACGGATGGCAAGAGGAGACCATAAATCCAGAAGTGGCCCATCCTTTTGGGGGTGGAGGAAGAGGTGGGTGTCATTCTGCTCCATGGGGTGCCTGGAGGCTCAGTTTAGGGCTCTGCACTTCAGGAAAGCTATGACCCAACGGGAGAGAGGCCAGAAAACAGCGGCTGTGAAGAGAAAGAGGGAAAAATCTGTCCTCCACACTTGCATCTGAAAGGACAGAGGTCCTGAGCCGGTCTGGGGCTGGACCAGGCTGAAATGAGGAGCAGAGATGCTACAAGGTGGAAAGGAGGAGCAGAAGGACAGCAAGGTGCAGGGGAGGAGCAGTCGCAGACCCCAGCACAGCCCCAGCCCCAGCTCCCTGACGGTTCACAGCTTTGCTGGGATGATGGTTGCATCCAGCTCCCATGCCGGGACGTCATCAGCCCACCCCGGTCCAGCACCAGCCGTCCCTGGGGAAGTCCAGGATGTTTGCAGCAGGCAAGGAGGGCACCATCGTCCCACCAGGTGGGAGTCCCCACGTCCCCAAAGCCACCCTGCCGCAGTACGGCACCAGAGCACACATCCCCTCCCCTTCAAAGTCAAAGGGTTCAGCTCCCTTTCAGCTGCAGAGAGCCTCGTGCTCTCCCATAACCTCTACTGTCGCTCACCGACCATGTTTTATGGCTTTTGGAGAGGGAGTGAAGGCGCCCTGCCTCAGACTCAGCTTTTACGGCAGATGCTCCTTCTCCGAGGAGCCACGGAGAAGGGCTAAAAGGTGCCGGGATTTTTGCAGCTCGGCGGATGAGAGCTTGCCAGGACCCCCACGCAAAGCGGTGGACCTGGCCCACCCACTGCCTTGTTTTCCAGAGCGCTATTGATTCGTTAAATATAGCAATTAAATGTGATCAATGGACCCCAACGTGCTATTTTGGGGGAGAGGAGGCTCCATCCATCAGTGCTGCAGCGCTGGCTCAGCATGACCCACTGCGCACATCTGGCTCTCCCCGCTCCCCCTCCTTCAGTGCGAGAGTGGATGCTGCCCCATGCTTAAATATTTGATGGCACACAATTATTTGACATATTCCCAAGTCCATTCTTCTCCCCCCGCCCCTCCCACAAGCTCCTTTGCTTTGGCTGCTGTTAGACACTGTCACTTTAAATATAGGGTTTGCCCAATTTCTGGGAGCGCAGTAAAGGGTGGCGGGGAGCAGCTCAAGCCATGCAGTCACACCAGCATCCAAAATTTACCTGGTCCCTGCAAAATTCAGGAGAGCTTCAGGGAAGGGGAATCCCAAGGTGGGGGGGGAAATCCTTGGGGAAAAAGGGCAGGATGAGAGATGAGGGCAGGGAGGAGAAAAATGAAGATCTGAGAGAAAACGTGCCCAGGATGGAGTTTGTTTAATGCAACCGCCAGCTCAGGTCCGCAGAAGCACCCAAAGGAGGTCCAGCACCCAAATCCTGCTGCCGACCGTGCTGCTACGTCTGGCTCCGAACACAGCGCAGCCAGTCCCTGGCTGTGCGTCGCTCCAGCGTCCGAAAATCCCATGCTCACCCCAACGCCGTCCCCCCGTGGCCAGGGGGGGCTTGTGATCCCCAGGGTCACAGCAGCCTGTGCCCCCCAGCCCTGGGCAGCCCCGCGGGACGGTGGCGAGACCAAAGCAGGCTTTGCAGCAGAGGTAATATCTTTTATTAGCCCGGTGGATACAATAAAGAGAAAATAAAGCTGGGAGCACACAATGGGCCAGCGCTGCGTGCCCGACGCCAGTCAGGTTTTTTTCCAAGCCGGTCTAATAAAAGCGATGACCTCTCCGTCCCTCAGCATCGCCTCTCCTGGGAGCGCGGGCCATCACTGCGGCTGGACCCCACGGCTCCCTGCAAAGCTGGGGAGGGGATGGGGACCCACGAGGGACAACGCGACCGACTCCTGAAAAGCAAAAGCAGCGATAACTTGGAGGCAGCGGTGACAACCCTGCCTGTGCCTCTCTCCAGGCTGCAACACCCAGGGATGCTGCGGGGTGTCCGGCTCGCGGGGCAGGTCGGGGAATGGGGATCAGGGCTGGAAGGGGACTGGGAGAGCCCCCAAATCCTCCCCGGGCTGGAGGGGGGCTGTGACAACCCCTAAATCCTCCCCCAGCTGGAGGGGGGCTGAGGGAATCCCCCAAATCCTCTCCGGGCTGAAAAGGGACCGTGACAGCCCCTATCCCCTCCTCAGGGCTGGGGTCGGGGGGACCGCAGCAGCCCCAACTCCCCCCATGCTGGGTAAAGGACCGGGACAGGCTCCAAATCCTCCCGGGCTCGAAGGGGACCAGGACGGCCACAAAAAGCTCTCCGGGGCTGGAAAGGGACCGGGACACCCCCCAAATCCTCTCCGGGGCTGGAGGCTGACCGGGACAGCCCTCAACCCCTCCCGGGCTTGATGGGGACCGCGACATCCTCCAACCCCTCCCCGGGTTGGAAGGGGACCGGTACAGCCCCCAGCCTCTCTCCGGGGCTGGAAAGGGACCGCGACATCCCCTAATCCCTCTCCGGGTTGAAAGGGGACCAGGACAGCCCCCAAATCCTCCCCAGGCTGACAAGAGACCGGGACATCCCCTAACCCCTCCCCGGGCTGGAAGGGGACGGCGTCAGAC